ACTTTCGGGTCTAATAATGTGGCCTTTTTTGGCAGATTAACTAAAGGTGTGCGGCTGCTACTGTGAGGAAGTATCAGCCTGAAATTACAATGGGCTTTAATGGAGGCATGTTGAAAGTTTTTGTCACTTCATGCCCTCAAGAGGCATTTTGTTTAATTATTTTTTGCTTTATTATTTGTCATTTTTTATGAGATGTTTTCCTACGTTTGTCATGAAAAAGTATGTCTTAGGAATGTAGGGTTTGGGAATTATGGCAGTTTAAAAAAAATATATGAAGGCAAATTTCAAGATTTCCTACACTCTAGCTGTGACATCACGCACTCTAGTAAATGTTAAAATCTGAAGAGGTCTGAACAATGTTCAATATCTCTAAAATTAAGAATCAGATTTAAAAGTTGTGTTACACAAATAATGTCAGAAAGATGTGTAGCATTTTAAAGTTGGAATGAGGTTTCTGAGTGAAAGTATGAATGAACAGTTAGCAGTTGAAGTCGCATGAAGATTTGTTGAAGTCTGAAGAATTTCTCCATTGACTTCAATGGTTAAAAATGGGATGTATTATGGGATGTATCTCTGGAATTATGAAAGTTATGAATGATAAAAGTAATAGCAATCGATTCCCGACCGAGCTGAACGTTTTGATGTTCGAACGGAGTTTCTGCGATGTTCAATGCGGGAGGAGAAGACCGGCAAAATAACGGGTGGAATAATAAGAATAAAGAATTCCGTGCGTATAAGAACAGATAGTGATGATAGTCAAAATGATAGTCATAGTACAACCTAGTCTCAACATTGAGTTATTGTTGCTCTACTTTGGCTTACAGCTATCAGCAGGTTAATGGATCATCTTCATACAGTATTTGGTCAGCTTAATTTCATGACCTTCCAATTGCTAGACTGCAAAGCTTGTACGCTTCAGTGGAACTCTTTTCACAAGGTGATAAATATTCGTCCATGAAACAGGCAGGATATTTAGACGCACAAAACTTGGCACACGGATTAACAATGTGAAACGTAGGTAACTGATATGGTTATTGTGTTTGGGGGGCTTTTAAACTGGAACAAACGAGCCCTCACTGTTATTTTTGACAGGCAGGTAAAGTAATGTAGATAGACAAAATATTCCACAAGTAATGTCTACTCAATTGGTCCAGTTTCCAACGGTCAGGGCAAAAACACTACAGCGTCAACCTACGTCCCACAATTATCACACGTGGGGGGGGATAGGACCCATTCAATTCTGCATTCAGCCATAATGTTTTGCATGTTACAGCAGGTGGCAATGGTGAAAAGCAAAAGAGCAACAACTCTGTTTCAGTTGTACCATAACATTTGAGGATATTGTATGTTGTCAGAAACGAACATCACTTCCTCTTTGTGAAGCATTTCTGTTGTTGAGCATTTGTAACAAAAAAGCTGACCGTGGGAGACTTTTTGGGGGTTGGAAAAAAAATAAAGAAGAATAAACACATCTAGAGTTTATGGGAAAAATAATTACAATAGTTTTCCTTTTTATTTACAAAAGTAGCTGTTCTTGTTGTTTGTGTAAGCTATATAATCTAAATGTAATAACATAGGAACAGGAATACAAAAAAAGTTAAGATCAAAGGGTGAATGTGGTTTGTAGTAAACTAGCTCTACTAGCTGAGAACTGTTTGATACAAATAAATGAAAGAAACCAAACCATACTGGTCATATTATTGGTCATATTGTTATACTTAAATTAACTTTTAACATATGAAGCAATGTGGCTGGTTATGACAGACCAAGTTAGCATTCTGTACCTCCTGATCCAAGGTCGATTTTTTGTTTATCTGCTTTAATTTAGATTGTGTGACAATTGACTTTGAGCTGCACCTTGTGTCTGTCATGTGATATATAAATAAAGCTTTATTATTATCAGCATTTTCAAAAGTTTGAGTTAGTGGTCAGTTGTAGAAGAAACTATGTGGCCATTCCAAAATCTAAGAATAGGAAAATATTAGGGCATTTAGTTTGGAAAATGACCACATGCCAGCAACACATGCAGATTTTCAAAATCTCATAGTGTTACTCTTTTAATCTACTGCGCTCAAACCTTAGTCACTCCTGTGAACCACACCCAATCCACTTCCTAAATCATGCAGCAGGTTTAGGGAAGCTCTTACTGGCAACACAATCAATGTTATTTATTTCCAAGGAATGTAACATGACACCACTAAAATGTTACTGACAAAAGAACTTGCAAAAAGAAAAACATGAATTCTTTAGGTTTATGGTTTGAACTGGGAGTTTAACATGTGATTTAAAGTGTAGTTCTACTTAGCAATAAATTGTTTAAACCTTAAAGGGGCTTAAACATGCTAAACTTTAATACAACATTTAAATACAATGCAAAGTGACTAATATAAAATTGGACCATAGATATTCAGATTGTTTATTACAAGATTTTACATAAAAGTAATGTCTCTCACCCAGTTTGCGTCAGGCCAGGTAAGCATGCAGAACACAATGGTGTTTTCTGATCCGGCATCCAGCTCTCTCGGCAGTTGAACGCTCACTTTGTCACTATCGCTGTAAGAATTGTCTGACCTTACCTATATCAGAAGCACAGAGTGAAGAATGGAAACCTTACATTTTAAATACCTGTAACATAATAATAGAACTCTCAGACATTTGTATCGAAGAGTAGTTTCACAGAATGGTCGACTACCCAACTATCAGGAGCAGCTGTCGTGAATTGAGGGTTTTATAATTAGATGTGTCCAGGGATATTAAGACTTAGAGTAGGCCCTTAGTTAAATTAAATAAGAAGTATTCAAGAAGAAAAAAGGTCCATTCAACCATGCTAGCAGCTCATTTGAGTTTGTACTTAAGCATCTCAGAGCATTGAGCAAAATGCTAATGTTGGCATAATGTGATCGTTGAAGTTGGTTTTCAAATGATTATATGTTTGTGTTTAGTTTTCATCTAACCATGCTAAAATTTGCTAATCATGACTTATGATGGGAGTAAAGGTGCTGGTAGAAAAGTCAGGGATCACAAAAGTGATAACAGTTGGATCAAGGGAACATGGATGTGCCTTCAACATTTCTCCATTCATTTCAGACATTGCTATGCCATACCCTAATACTATTACTTACCTTTTTATCACTTGCATGAATTGCAAGGCCTTTGAAGGGGACATTTGGTTTGTACAGGAAGGCCACCGAATTGTTGAAAGACAGTGATATAGACTCATTCACCTCTGTTTCCTCCAGAAGCCGTTCAAGGGTCTCAATGGCTCTTGTTGAAATTAAAGGACAAACTATTTTAAATAGCATTCTGATTTTACAACCGTTTTCCTTAAATCATATCTGGTGAGCTATTAGTTTTGTACATATCACTCTACTCAGATGCAAACACAAATATAACCCCTCAACAAATATAAAATGTTTTCTTATAAATAGGTTGAGATGTTTACTCGATAGGGTTGCAGTGGTGTCTGTGTTCCATAATTCCTTCCACGGTTTCTGGATAACCTGTAGAGTAAAACAAGGATTTATTGAAATATAATATATTCTCAAGAAGTGTATTTAAAATAAAATAAATATTTGAGATCTTACTTTGTATCTTTTTTTTGGAAGTGTTGCGTTTATGATACAGAAGTGAACCTTCATTGGAACCCTCATCTGAACATTTATTGGAACCTTTATTGGAACCCTTATTGGAACCTTTATTGGAACCCTTATTGGAACCCTCATCTGAACCTTTATTGGAACCTTTCTTGGAACCCTTATTGGAACCCTCATCTGAAGCTTTATTGGAACCCTCATCTGAACCTTTACTGGATCCCTCATCTGAAGCTTTATTGGAACCCTTATTGGAACCTTTATTGGAACCCTTATTGGAACCTTTATTGGAACCCTCATCTGAACCTTTATTGGAACCCTCATCTGAACCTTTATTGGAACCCTCATCTGAACCCTTATTGGAACCCTCATTGGAACCCTCATCTGAACCTTTATTGGAACCCTCATGTGTGCCTTGGCAGTCTCACTCATCTGAACCTTTATTGGAACCCTCATCTGAACCCTTATTGGAACCCTCATCTGAACCCTCATCTGAACCCTCATCTGAACCCTCATCTGAACCTTTATTGGAACCCTCATCTGAACCTTTATTGGAACCCTCATCTGAGCCTTTATTGGAACCATATAGCAAAGACAAGACCAGCCAACAGAGGAACCAACTCTTCATTCTGTGAAAGGAAGAAGATTCATTTAGAACAACAACCTTTTTAAAAACACATGTCATAAATGAACGACAAATGAATAGTCATTCAGTAGAATAGTCCCCCACACTCACACAACTTAAGACTAAGACACCACTGTATAGTAATTATGCCAAAGTGCAATAACATTACAAACAAGACTACGGCAAATACTGTTGTGCAATAACACGTACGTGCAATTTGTAAGTCAGTAAAATGTACTTTGAATGTAACTTGACCATTTTAGTAATTTTTAAAATTGCCTTTTTATTTGATCTTGATTGATGTTGATATTTTTTTGTCTCTATCTTCACTTTTGCTGTAACAATTAAAATGTCCCCTCTGTAGGACGGATAAAGGTATTCTGATTCTGACTAAATATTGACCTCTGTGATTTCCTTTACTTGAGCCTTACAAAGGCAAAGAGGGAAGTTCCAAAAATCATTAAGACTTTTATCAGTTCGAAAAGCTAAATGTTATGGTTCTGAAGTAAGAGTATCAAAACAAAGCCTACCTTTTCATGTTGCTGGATCAGTGTAGAAACGGTTTTGCCGTAAGGATATTCAGAGTACAGCTTATGTGACTACAGGACAAAAGCAAGTGAGGAAAACTAAATGTTGGGGCTTTATGGGAAGTAAAGCAACAAAAAAAAACATAACAACATGTAAATGGTATTCTATGTTAAAGAGGAAGCAGCCACAAACCAATGCAAAAAATACCTATTGTGTCACTTACTTCTGTTACCTCCAAATATGGGCTCACATTAAATAATTGAGGGAAGATAGTACTTAGCATTGAACACTTGTCTTGCATTCTCTATTAGGCCCTAACTCACAGTTTTGATTAGAAGCTGGTTTATCCTAAACAGCACAACATTGGTCAATATGCAACACGTCACTTGGTTTATGGCTGCACGTCACAACTACCACCAACAGAGGGGAGTAGAGCGTTTAAAGAAAAATCTAGTGAGACAAGCTGTTTAAAATGAAAAGCAAGCGATCCATCCTTACATTATCTTTTTACAGGGTGTTAACTCTGCCTTTGTCAGACCACTACGTTTCCAGCCCTAATTTTCTTGCTTTGGAAAGCCACCATAAGCACCAAGGCTCCTAGAAGAAGCCTGTGGAAATGTTTACAAGAAGTAGAAGTTGCACAGTTAAAAAAGAAAAAATTGTAGCCTTTATTGTTGGTAGCTGAGGAAAACATAAAGCGATCTAACAGTGCGTCAACATTAATACCACTATGAAACACAAGAGGGAAAAGTTACCTTTTTCTGCGTTAATTAAATATATTTGACGCATAACATCAACATACTAAAGGCTGTAGAAGAGATATGAGTGTCATTCCTAATTCTGTTGAGATCACTGGTGTGTGGGCAGGTGTTGACTGATGTTAGCCTCTGGGGTTAAAACCTACCTGAGACAAACATCATACAAAGAGACCATTGAAGCAGAGTGACTCACATAAAGCAGGTGCTGATCCTTATGAGTAACTGGAAAACCCTAAGTGATAAAACATCCCTTTTATTTGTAAGTACATTTGCCTTTTTAGTTGTCAGCAAAAGTCACACAAATTATACAATGGCGATTTCCAAGAAGTCAAATTATTACCACTATTTTTTCTCCAAACAAGTTGGATTGCTTGAAAATGTCACGTGTTGTTTCCATTTGTCAAAAGTAAAACGGATAACAATTGCTGAGTAACATTTCAATGTATTAAATGAACTGAAGCTCAAAAAAAGAGGCTTACCAACAACCTTTGTGTATGTTCAGTAAACTGTGACACCTCTTGTGTTGACCTCAGGCCAAAATTTATTTAGCCTTTTAGACATATTTCCCTGCAATATCAAGCAGGGGTAAGTGCATAGTGAATTGCAAAAGGCAAGACAGTATTGACAAATGCAAACAGGTACCGATTCAAGTTGTTCTTTTTTTATTATATGTGAGACTTAACAAAACAACTTTGTTTAGCATCTACGCATATCTTACTATTAACCTTATGTCTTTATTTACTTTTCATACTCATTTTGGCCACAAGAGGCTGCAATGCACTACTAAGCAATGTATCCATGTGTTCTTAAACATATATGTAAGGCATGTAAAGTAATTATGACATTTTAAATTATCTGTTTTCACAGATGAAAAAAAAGTCACTTTGACAAATTATCCTGTCAAAGCTTATTGTATGTGGCAAAATCGTTTCAAAATTGAGTGAAACAAACAGTAACACCATGGTCATATCAGTTAATGAATTGGGTTAATAACCCTTTTATTATGTTTATCTCTTAATGGTGACTTCAAATCTCATAGCTTATCAGTACATGTACCTGTTACATTCAGTATTTGTACGTGTGTGACACACATTGGGGGGAGGGTCATGGTTGCTGGCGTCCGCCTCGGGCTCTTCCTCCGCTCCCTGTCCCACTTCCACCTCCATCCGTCCGGTTGTGAAGCATTGTAGTGGTCAGCTCCATCAAGTCAGCCACTGGAAAATAGGACAAAGCCGGAAATGATTTGCCTTCAAAATAAGAGACAACTAAAATATCAGACCTGGCAGGAAACTTTAATAGTTAATAAAAACAAATATTATTCCTGAGTCATTATGCTACTTGTTACGTGAGCTCCCTCAAACATTTGCATTTGTTTAACTGTTAAAAGGCCAATATAATTGAGAAGGAAACACGTCACATTCTGCATGGAGAAAATAACTTTCTTTATTATACAGTATTCCCTTTTTCTTCTGCTTTCAAAACCGTCAGAGACGAAAGAATGATTCAGACTGCGTACCTTTTATTTTGGCAGCCATGACAGGGACACCTCGCTGATGTGCTGCCACGCTTGACGCTCTCATCTCCACGTTTGGTACTGAAACCCCACCAACAGAGGACCACTGTCCGTGCTGCTTCGGTAGGAACACAACAGAGCCACGGAATCAGGATAAGACTGATAGCAACTAAGTATCGGCTTCCGAGACGGTTTCCTCTGGCAAAAGGGAACAACTGGACGTAGAGGGCTCTTTTTTTTTTTTTACAAGAGGTCGCGAGCTATAACTGCCGTTGCCACTTACAGCTACGACACTGCTCGAGCTGCTGCTGAAGGAGTCAAGTGCGGTGAACTTTCATGTTGTCGCCGTTTCAGATTTCTAAACTTTCTCAGGGTACATTTGAATGCACCCGAATAGGCATTAACACGACATGAGTTCATTTACCCACTGTATTTGAACATGTCAGCAGTAGGCTACATTATTTACTCAAAAGCATTTCTGGGTTATGCACACTTTGCTGATAGTGGGCACTGCTGGAGACATTGTTGCTCTTTTAAAGTGCACTTTCAAGGTTACTAACAGGGCAGCGACTTTGATGTTAATTAAATGAGTCGGGCGCTCTAGTGGGTAACTCCCGCTAGAGATAACAGAGCACAGTAGTCAAAGAAAGGTGAGACTGACTGTTAACGCTGTTAAAACGACTTAAAGGAGAAACCTGCATGGAGGTTCACATATGACAAGTCGACGACATTTATGGAGGGTCAGTTTGTAGTGCGGCTCTGGCTGTAAAACTGAAATGGGGCTCTTTTCCAGGATACAAGTGCACAGTTGAAGACCGTCGTATAATTCTCACTTGGGAATAGTTTACAACCATCGTATCAGGGTTTTTACCACTTAAACCAACAGTACTGTAAAAACCTTTCAAAGACACCCTAGTTTATCCTCTGGGATTTAACCACTACTGATTTCCCTCGCGCCCGGACCATGGCCTCCTCCTCGCGGAACAGCTCCTTCTGGTTGCTCTGGAGACGCACCTTCCTCGCGATGGGGCTGTGCGCGCTCGTGGCGTTTGGAACAGCGGAGGGTGACAGCGCCTTCAACTCAGAGGTAAATACACAGCAGCGTTATTAGTGACTATACTGACTGACTAATGCTCTATGCTTAGGCTATTAACTGCCATGAAACCATGAGGCTGGTTCTTCCTCTTGCTATAAGCAGTCACTAAAGTGTTGTATACAGTCGTGCTACTATAGGCCTATTAATGTAATTTTGTTTCTTATTTAAATCCACTAATATAAACCAGTGTAACAGCTTCAGACATGAGAAAGTCATCAACAATGATGCAGGACCACCCAGTGCACACCAGCTGGTTGATGATACTTGTATTAATTATATTATTGTAACAATGCTCTAACTAAATGCATATTTTCCCGTAGAGTGCACTTGGTGAGGAAAACATATTGATTGGCAGGTGTGCAGTCTTTTTTGTTGTTGCATTCATTTACATCGCAAGGCTTTCACAAATCTGTCTGTAAGGGACATTCACATCTATAATATCCACCTCTTTAATGGAACATGTTTTAGGTAAGATGATTTTTTTTTCCTCTAGGCATCCCCATCACACCATTCTCAAAAACAATTATTTGGACCCCTCTTTCATATTTGCTGAACTAGAAAAAACACATGCTATAGCAAAACTGATCACCACCTTAGTAGCCATTGTAAAGGTAAGTACTTAGAATATTAACTTGCACCTCTTAACCATAAGGAACACATGTTTTAGCATTATTTAGGCGCGTAATTAGACGCCAAGGTGTGCCATAGTAACAAGTTTGAACTTGAACCAGCACTTCTTGACATTTTTCTTTCACCAGTCCAGCTATTATCTAGAACACTTGACTGTTTCAGAGTATTGAAAGGTGATTAATGGTGGAGCTTTTAGTTTGTTGTTTGCCAAAGAGAGACAGACAGACACCGACAGACGAAGGAACCACCCGGTCATTAGAGGTGACCATGCATTTCCAAACTCATTGACCAGGGGGGTCTGCTTGTTAGCCAGGTTACAACATACAGTTTGTGTGTGTGTGTGTGTGTGTGTGTGTGTGTGTGTGTGTGTGTGTGTGTGTGTGTGTGTTTGTGTGTGTGTGTGCTAATGTGTCTCGCTGACAAGAGATGGAGGGTTTACACAATGTGTGGACTGATGAGATATTGCTAATCGCTTGTTGCTAAATGTGTGTGTTTGTGTGTGCCAACTGAAATAGTAACAACACATGTTGACACATCTGGAATGCTCCATAGATCTCTGAAGGTAAAGTGCATCCTGAACGCAGTGCACGTCAACTTTATTAATGGCTGCTGTTCAGGGGCGGACTGGAACTACAAATCAGCCCGGGACTCTCGACTGGCCCACTTCGGTACCGCCGGCCCACCGCGGTACCGCAAGTAAATACCGCTAGTAAATTGTCGACGGGGGTGCTAGTGACTTACCGCAGAGGTAGACATTAAGGGTAAAATACCACTGGCCCTCTGGGCCGGTGGACTTGTATTATCACTGGCCCCACCATTGTAACCACTGGCCCGGAGCATTCGTCCAAAAAAAAAATCGACTAATAATGAAGAAAATGTACACATTTGTTGCAATAGTAATTTATGCACTAACTACATTACTACTTGAATCATCATTTCTTCCTCATTTTCCTCAATTGTTCATATTTGGTTTATTAAAATAATGATATTGTGGTCATTGTTAAAAAATGTCTGCTATTATGAGTATTATTATTTGTATAAAGCGCTTTCTGCCTTCCTGTCATTAGGAGTTAGAAATGTAATGGCTATGTCATTGATTAGATTAGAACCTTCATTATCCTAAACTGCTGGGACATTTCCCTAAAGCCAATACCTTTATATTGTCTACTCTTCACTTACTTGTCAGCATAGGTCGGCATCAGTGGCGGCTGGTGGAAAATATTTTTGGTGGGGCTGTTGATATAGTGAGTAAACATTTTTTTTTGGGAGAAATGACCCCTTAAATTGGGACTTCTGGTGATGTAATGGCCCCATAAAATCGTGGTTCTAGGGCCAGGAACAACCAGGCTGAGTCGGGCTGAGTATGCTAAACTAGAGAGAGAATCGCTGTCAAGGGGGCTACAACTACAACAAGATGAACATATTTGACCGTGATTTAATTGTAATACACGTTTCAAAATGATGCCGAAGTAACAACATACTGATACCGGATAGTAAAAACCATGAATTAAGGCTTTGACAAGTCTGCAGACAGACGGCAGGTGAAAAACCTTTTAAAATGCGTGTTTTCTAATGGAGATTTGTTGTAAATTCCCCGACCATCCACACTCACAACAACGACCTATACAGACATAAATAAACCTATAGGTTACTTACGTAACCCCAGTTCTCAGAGTAACATGAAGTGAGATGTCTCACTATGGGATGCGCCTCATCGCGGAGCAAACAGAAGCATCAATCTCATTACGCCAATCCTGATTGGCTGGTGATCTTGACGTCAGCGTCAGGGAATCCACCCCCTATAAGTAGCTTGCGCTACGCCGCATGCGTCATTCAAAATAAGCACCTCTTCTCGCTTCACCATAGCAAGGAGGGCCGTCTGGTGAGACATCTCACTTCATGTTACTCTGAGAACTGGGGTTACGTAAGTAACCTATAGTTCTCATTCATAACACTCCGTTCGATGTCTCACTATGGGATATTGTAGCTCCCGTATTGCCAGACGAGCTTATCTCGAAAGTCACCAAGACCAACCAGAACTTAACAGTTAGAGCTCTAACTCAGCAGGGGGCCCAGCACTGCATGGGCCACACTGGGAGCAGAGACGTCTAATCTGTAAAAGCGGACAAAAGTGAGCGGCGAGAACCAGCTCGCTGCTGCACAAATGTCTTGGATGGAAACACCCCTGAACAAAGCCCAGGATGTAGCCAGACCACGAGTCGAATGA